GCATAACACCAGTGTTCAACACGCTGCTTCACTGCCGTACAACCATGATTTATTTGAAAGCCTTATTGTAAAGAAAAGAATAAAGATGAACGGGGAAGGGAATTGGTGCTAGCTTACCAAATCATTCCGAGGTGCCTACACCTCCAGACATTCACTCAGGCAATCTGGATAGAAACTGACAACAAGAACGCCACTGACATCGGTTGGCAGCCATATCTTGTAGTGTCTCCAACAAGGTACAGTGAGGATCACGTCGTCCCCACCCTGGAAAGCGAGTAGCACCGACAGCATCCAAGCGTTTCGTAATCTCCTTCATACCCCTCTGTCAAGTCAAGGGTTGGCCACATCTCTGTTTACGCCAATCTGAGTTGGGCATGGAAAACAACACTCTCTTCGGCAAACGGTGTGCATAGGGCACGTCCCAATCAACGCACCTTCTGGTGCTGGAGAGATTCTTCAATGGAAGTACCCGTTTAACAACCGAACACCCGCTTACTAATTGCCTTTTCACGGATACGCCGATACCAACCCACACGAGCTATGGTTCTGAGGCAGGGATTGTCGACCACCTGAAGACATCTCAGTTCCGCTGTTCGAACAGGCTGTCTCACAGCCATACAACAAAATAGCTGTCCATTGAGATTCAGGGATATACCACTTTGGTATCTCAAATTAGCAAACTCGACCCGGACCTTGCCGATTCGTGCATTCACCTCATCTGTCATACTAGTCAGAACTAATATAAGCCCCAAGAGACTAATAAGCCCTACAGATTCCAGTACCTCTCTCTGGATTGTAATTGGCGTATTCAGTGACTGCATGTCCACGAGCACGACCTTACTTACGCAAATTGCATACCAAAGGATGACTTTGGTCAGTTCATCCGAAAACACCTGCGCCTTCTCCTCTTCGAAGATTACAACGATGTCGTCTGCGTACTCCAGATCGACAAAGTTTTCTTCACAGGCTACTTGAACACCAGGGTTTTGGAGACCCTCCTACGTTTTTCTGATTAGTTCATCGATCACAAATTTAAAAAGAAATGAAGAGAGTCGGCATCCTTGACGGGCACCGTTTTGTATACGGAAGCCTTAGGAGAGTTTTCCGTATACTCTCACGCCTTGAAGTCTGAAAACACAAAGAACGTGCTATGTCCACAAACTCCTAAGGCGAGCGTGTCAAGAACAACAGATGGACCAACCGTGTCGAGTGCGCCTTTGAAACCCAGGTTTGCTAGAATTTTGGGTCGCTTAGACGCTTGACGGTGTTTTAGCACCTGCCGGAGTGTGAAGGTTTGGTCAACGTAGCCCCTACCAGGCCGGAATTCTGCTTGCTGCTCTCGAGTCAATATCTCACGAGCCACCGTAAGGCGACGAAGCACCAACAATCTCGTTAAAACCGTGGTCAAGCCGACCCCCCGCGGCTACCAGACTCATCACGAGCTCGTTCTTTGAAAATGGGCACTCTCCAGTTGTTTTGAAGATTCCTTTTCCAAATGCAAGCGAGCAGATCAGGCAAGCATTGACTGAGGACTTCACCCCCTTCTTTGAACAGTGCGGCTGGATGTCAGCCGGACCAGGAGCTCGATGGCGCTTGAGAGAATATATGCAGTCGAGGCCTCAGGTGGTTCCACGTTCACCGACCATACGTCACCGGTGGGCTCTAGGTGAGTGCCAGCTGGTGGCCACGACAGTTGTTGTTCGAAGTATTCACCCCAGCGGTCGAGATAGTTGTTCCATTCTGATGCTTGATGATTTCACTCACAGGTGGTTTCCAGGGTCCGGTCCCACGGACCAACCGAAATAATCTCCGGGTACTACCGGCTTTCTGGTACTCTTCCAATTTTTTGGCTTTCTGTGTCCACCATACTTCACCGTCGGATCGCAAGCTCACTTTCACTTCACGTCTGATAGCTCTTCGCACCGGGTCATGTTCGGGACCCGCTGGAATATTTCTTCGAAATTTAAGTAGTGCCACAGTTCGGTATGATATCGAGTGCTTGAGTGCGCCTGGTTGGGTCGTGCCACAGACAAAATTCCCAGCACTATGCAGAGAGGTGGCAATCCCACCCCAGTATGTGTTCACATCTGACGGTGGTGTTTGGAAGAGAGTCTAGAAGACGATTCTCGTAAGTTCGTCTCAAATCCAGATCGGCTCCCTTTAACTTGACGTCTGATACTTTTTCGGACCAGCTATGATATTGTTCGGAGATTTAAGCAGTGCCACTGTCCGGTCTGATGTCCAGTGCCTGCGTACGCCTGACGGTCCTGTGCCATAGGCAGAATTCCCAGCACTACGCAAGAGGTGGCAATCTCGTCCAAGTATGCGTCCACATCTGACGGTGGAGCATCTGGAAGACTCTAGAAGGCGAATTTGGTGAGTTCGTCTAACGTCCGAATCCGCCAGTCTTTCAGTTACAACGCGAATTGTCCGCATCTTACGGTCCTGGAATTCCACACAACTGAAACAGTTCTCTCATTATCGGCCGTTTCATCTCGAAATTAGGGAGACCAATGTGCCCGTGAAACTCCTGCATTCCCGAACGCACTTTCTTGATTTGCGGAGTGCGCACCGGGTGCTTGGCACTCACGTATCAATCATAGTGGCCAGAAAGCCCGGAGTCCAGCGAATGCGTTCGGCAGCCGCGCGGTGCACATCTGACGCTAATTACGTAAGCCAGCCGGAGGTAAGAATCGATCCTGGCTGTCAAACGAGACACTGGTAGACCGGCCAATGCACAGCGCGGGCCGGCGCTCATGCTCACAGATGATGGCCCTGAGAGCTCGCATAGGCTTCCTGATCAGCACCCAGCCAGAGCAGCACGACCGCCGTAGCATTACCACCACCACCAACTACACGAGAAGCCACCACACGGCGTAATTGCGATCAGCAACAGAAACTTTGCGTACCTTAGACGGGTATTTGGCAGTTTACACGGCTCTACCGTCAATGACATCCAAAAATTGCTAGCGAATTGCACTGATCACCTTCCACTGCCACCCTGTGCCCGCATCAACGTGAGTCGCCATGCCTCACTGGCTCGAAAACATCGACGCCTTTGAACAAATCCCGAAGACAGTACCTCTGGGTTCGGGATGCCTCGGTGGTAAAAGCTGGCTTACAGACCAGAAGGCCCGAACCCAACTTTGGCATTCCCATCATTCCTGTCAAAGCTAGGATAACCCGGGATGGTCCGTAGGCAGCCGGGCGAGACAGCTGAGCGATGTACTCTCAAACGTTCCCATCGCGGAATGAAGGGCCCGGGGTACCCCGGACCGACACCGCAATCAAAAGGCTCTCTCCCAGATCCTAGGCCATGACATATGGAAGTAACCCAACCGCCAGCGACGCTATTGCCTTGCCTACTCGGATAAGCGGCGGTTGCATGGAGTGAGCCCCCGCCACACAATCACATGGCGCACGCATGCCGTAAGCCAGCCGCTAGGTTTCTCGACTTCACCATCGCACTAGGCCTTCCCCAGTGGACCGTCTGGCAACCATGTTGTCCATGAACACAGTCCGGCGACCCAAACTAGTATCTTGTGGTATCACAGTCACAGGCGGAAATTCGCTGGCGACCCACTTGACAAAGCTTATTTGTAATATGTGGGACGAAGAGCAAGTGCCTGCAGAATGGGGCATGTCGACAGTTATCCCTATCTTCAAAAAGGGTACACGGACGCTATGCGAAAACCACCGTAGCATCAGCCTGTTAGCTGTGGCATCGAAGGTGCTCTCTGGCCTTATCCTTCGAAGGTTGACTGAACACAGGGAGAGGCAGATCCGTGAAAACCAAGCTGGGTTCCGTCCTGCAAGAGGTTGCATCGACCATATCTTCACCCTCCGACAGATTCTGGAACAGCGACACTGCTTCCAGCAACCAACAATGGTTGTTTTTCTTGATCTGAAAGCTGCCTTTGACTCTGTGGACCGCCAAGCACTATGGCAGTGTCTGTGGAGCAAAGGTGTCCCCCATAAATTCTTGAACCTCATTAAGGCGCTGTACGCCAACTCCCGCGGCCGTGTAAAGGTCTACGGGAAGCTCTCTCCTGAGTTCACCACATCAAGTGGTGTCCGACAGGGTTGTCCTCTTTCACCTTTCCTCTTTAACTTCGTCATTGATACGATCATGGAAGACTCACTACCAGCCTCTAATGCCTGTGGGGTCGAAGTGCTCCCTGGGCCTCCGCTCACAGACATCGAGTACGCAGACGACATAGCTCTTCTAGGATCTGACCCCGTGGCATTGCAAACAATACTAAATAATCTAAATAATTCTGCCTCGCGGTTTGGTATGCGCTTCACACCTGCAAAGTGTAAAGTGCTACTGCAAGACTGGGTGGGCTCGAACCCTAGCCTCATGCTTGCGGATGAACCGATTGAGGTAGTAGACAAATTTGTCTACCTGGGCAGCTGTATCAGTCCCGGTGGTCTCGCGAAAGATGATATTTCCATCCGGATTGGGAAGGCCAGAGCAGCTTTTGCGAACCTACGTCACCTGTGGCGTAGGCGTGACATCAGCTTCTCTGTCAAGGGTCGAGTTTACAATGCTGCGGTGCGCTCCATATTACTATATGGATCAGAAACCTGGCCGCTGCGCGCCGAGGACGTCAAAAGACTTTCAGTGTTTGACCATCGATGTCTTCGGAACATTGCCCGAATCTGGTAGGAACACCGGATCATCAATGCTGAAGTTCGCCGAATGGTATTCGGGAGAAATAACTCACCTTCGATAGATGGACTGATCACACTGCACAGGTTGCGGTGGCTTGACCACGTGTTGCGTATGCCAGTCGACCGACTTCCTCGAAGGGTTCTTCTCGCACAACCACGTGAAGGGTGGAAGAGAGCCAGAGGCGGTCAAACAATGACTTGGCAGCGGAGTATGAGAGCCATTACCAGCAAACTCAGCTGCGCTGGTCACTGCCGCCTGGATGGGGACCCCGAGACGGGCCACATCAATGGCTAGTGACATTATCAGACATGGTCCAGTCGCGCCCTCAACGGCGCTCATGCATCGAAGCTATTGCCTTCAATGCATAGCCCCTTTTCCATCCCCCGCTTGACAACCCACTGACAGTGCTAGATTTATGCACCAACTTACCAGCTCGCGCGTGCAATGCGGAGCTACCTACCCCCTCCCCCAAATCATCGGTGAACGAAACTGTGGCAGCCACAACCAGTGTACGACCAGTACGCGGTCCTTACAGCTGACAATGATGATGATCACAGTCAACTTCCGCGATGACAAGAACCCAACCACCCTAACAGAACAAGGTTTTCCGCCAACTGTTGCGTTCAAAGTTGTACACCGTCATAGGAAGCCCCAACTTATGAGCGATGCGGCTCTGAAAAGAATCTCACATGAAAGGCTCTTATCACATGACAGAACCAAAGGATCCGCAGGTACCCCACGTCCACGCGCAGTACCTCGAACGCGGTGAACATAAACCACAATTCGCGGCCGCAACCCACCTTAGACCGCTTCGCCGTTAACCACCGACAAACCAATAAACATTGAAGTGCACACAACCTACGGTTGCCGGTTAATAGCGTATATTTAGAGAGGCAATTTTCGAAGGACTGAAACCACGGGACCTAGACATGGCCCTGCAAGCGTTGTGATCACAACACGTGGACAGAAACCAGTCCGCAGGAATCGAGCCTTCCGGTTGCTGAGACAGAAAACAATTGATCAGGTGAAGCAAAAGGCTGTATTTTGGAAAGTATCACCCATTGCCGTCTTTGGTCTCCGTGGCGATCTGAAACGAAAAAAGGCGCGTGAGCCAATGTTGTGACGGATCAGACTCATTAAATCAGCTTTGTGGCCGACACGACTACGGATAAGAGTTATCATCATACACGTACCTAGTGAGTAAATTCCACACCTTGATAGCCAGCCGCCATCACCTGAAAGAAAACGGAGCGTTTACTACGGGCTCAGTGAAGATTGTAATCAAGCTTCATAGTTGGATTGAAAAGACATCACAAGGTATAAGGAGACACTTGCCTTAGTTGCACACGACAGGGTTCCCACTCTACCGCCATAGCGCAAAGCGAATGCACTTTCCCGCTCGACTGAAAATTAAATTTTTTTGGGTTAGTTAGCTCAATTCAGACTCCTCCAAAAATACAACACGAAACTCCCCGCAGTGGGTTCAAACTGCGTTGTGACGAGTCACGGAAGTGTCGCATAATATCAGGGAGAACGATCATCACTCAACTTACCTCGAAAGTTAATTAATTCGCAGGTCGCGTTATCCACCCGAGGTGACTGTCTTAGCTGTTATTCTATTCAGTCAGGGACGAGAAACCGCCGGGCATATTGCATGCGAAAATCTAAAGATGAAAAGAACAATACGTCACGGAGGCCGCGTCGATCAGAGGAGAGTTCTAGTCACAACGGGAGTTCATTGGATTGACAGAAAATAGTCATCACTCAGTAAACAACTTAGTCACAGAGCCAGACCCGTACCAGAACTATCAACGGATCATCGTGGCGGAAAAACAGACCATGGGACGAAACGACCCATGCACCATCCACGCCTATGATGCTTGGAAGGACGAGTATGCAGCAAAACAAAGAGGTGATTTGAACGATACAAGTGATGGTGCACTCAAAGTTTTTTACCATAAAATTGCCTCTGTACTTGGAGTTACCGTGGTGGAGTGGTCCGAGTAGCTAAACTCGGAGGTCTCCGTGAACTTACAGAACACCGCGAGGTTTGAATATAAATTCCTGTCTGGTTTTTCGGGCGCCGAGTTCTAGACTTACGCGAAACATTTCTCCGAAACCTGGTTCGGAAATGGGAACCTTCAACAGAAATTCAAGCGTTTGCTTGTAGTTATTCGAGCCTTCGAGATCTCTGCACTTGGCCGAATTTTTACGTAAAGTTGTTTAAGCCAAATCTGAGCCCAGCGTGGTTGCAATATTCGTGTTTCGTTGGTTGCCGGCCGCTTCGCGCATTGCCATCGTGAAAACGGTGAAAAATCTTGTGGAAATCTGTTGGCATCAAGTGTTTTTACTCTTATTATATTTGGACAATCTCCAAACGACCTAGACAATACTCGCGCCCTTTGAGCCCACGCAAAATCAAATTGTAGTGGCCATTCGCCACCAGCATATGAAAAATTCTTCTGTGGTTGCGGCAAGCAAAGCCAGGAAGTTCATCACGGCTATTAGGTTGTTGCTTTTTAATGATGGTCAGCATACACTACATCTGGCTCAGAGCAAGTTTTGATCTTCGCCAATATACCGAGCCGCCAAGATTGTCGTTGGATGAACTGTTGGGCTTGTGGGCGGAATAAGCAGACGGCACAGTAAGATGGCCACTGCCTTCAAGTCCTTGCACAAATTAAACGGACTGAAACGGTATTCTGGGTAACACGCTCGTCTGGGAAATATTGGAGATATAGTGAACTACCGGCAATCCATCAGACTGGGTGTGGTGGTCGAGGTACCGTAATCGCGATTCCATACTTCGGTTCATGAACATCTTGGGTGGGCCGTTTAGGGTTGTCATTGTAGGTAGGATATTCTTGGGTTTATCGAAGGTCCACAGTGGTCCATTTTTGTCATTCAAACAAAGCAATAAGACAGTCACCTCTACAGTGGGGACTCAGAGTAGGAAATTGCCCAAAAGGTCTGTTAGAAAGCACTTTGGTGTGAGCTGAAATGCCACCCAAATTAACAAACAGTCAAAAGTTGTCACATTTCCTAGCTAGTTCAATGAGTCGACACTGCCCAATTTCAGAAACGGTAATCAACGTTTACGTGCAGATAGGGGCATACGATTGGTCTGAACTGGTGTGGACATGTGAGCACGTGCGGCATGCATTAGCTGGATTGAGCGTAGCTGAAGTTGCTTGAAACTTGCAGAGACATGAGATCAGGTATACCTGGTGGTTCTGCGCGTTCTTACGGTGGGTCGATCCCAGAATAGAGCTGTTACAGCCTAAAGAAAAGCGTGGAGCTTTGCAAAATCAGTTGCCTCTGAGGCGTCATATCACGTGTATTTGGTGAGTCTCGCAGCATCTTTTTCTCTTCTACCAATGGAATTTTCGAACCAATGAGAGATTGCTCGAGATATATGCCGCAACCAGGGCAAGCTCAGACCGGAAACAGACGTCCGGCAAAAGTTGCCTTCATTTTAGTTTACCTTTCCTTCTTACAGAAGGCGGATTTTGAGAGTCGTCATGCGGAAGGAGTATATTTTTGGGAGGAGGCATACAGTCGAAATGACAGCTGTCAACCGTGCATTCTCCTTCACTGTCGTGGACAGGGGGAGCAGAAGGGGCGGACATGTTACGGAATTATATGGAGAGCTTCAAAGGCTTACGTACACAAAGCGGTGTCCGTCGAGAGCGCTGTCTCTCTGCATTCCAACTTAATTTCGTTTTCGACCAGGTAATTAGACAAACGCTGAAATGTCTTCCGGATCCGGAGTATGCAGACATCTTTCTCATCTTCGAAGAGAGGGAAAAGACGCAGGTGCACTTCATATCCACGAACTGTAACGTTATCATGATTATGTTTATTCCCAACAGGTGAGTGGTGTACCGTCAGGCATGAGCACATGGTTAGTCAGAATAAAGCGTGAGTTTGCCCGTAGTTACAGGTAGTGGAACAGGTGGGGTATCGGGTCCAGTCAAGAGAAGGAAGGACATAGTTGCGGGTAAGTTGCCATCATCCCACTCTTCCAAAGACCGATTGTGCCCGACTCCAAATTAGCGACACTGGTGAGTCTCTACAGTTTCGCTGTACACCATGTATTTGTGAGTCCTGTTAACGCTTATCCGCATCGCTAATCCGCCCACTTCGTCATCCCCACTTACACCTTTTATGACCCTGTCCCTGAGCCCAGCAGTAAGGCCGCCAGGCCTTAGCGGTGGTTTCAGGTTTTAGGTTAACACGACCGGCTGGATGGCGCCAACCTTGCTGATTCACCTGAACTGATGTTCTGCTTCCTCATTTCTCACTATTACACTTTCTTTTCATGTGTCAGGCAGGAAGCCTCCTGTTTTGCTCTCCCTCAGTTTGTTTTTTGCCCGTCACGTTCACATCCTAACGATCCGATATTGCTCGATATTCTCGTTAATAACGCGTGGTAACTGCGCCTTCCTGCCCGTGCCGGTTTAGTGGTGATTATGCCCACGTCGGAAATTGCCTACCCCCTATGATACTGTCTCCTTTCCTAAACCCCTGTGCCCACAATCCTCACCAGTCATGCTTTTGTTCTGACTGTAACATTATTATCATAAATGACGTTATGCCACCCATAAGTTGGGAATAAACATTATTATTATTATTATTAACATGATGCCCATCTGCCACTACCAGTGCAGTCAGTTTCCGATTCTCTGTGCAGACTCAGCACTATTGTGATGTGTTAGCCTGCGATGGACTGCAAAGGCGAGGTGTCAATAACTGCTTCTTCTCAATCCAAAAGCCAGTTGCTCAGTGCTAAAAGAATGTACCTTTTTACTCTGTGCAATCCAACCAGGCCACGTGCTTCCTCGTGTTGCTTCCCCCATCTCCCACTACAAGCACTTCCCGCAGTCCACCAAGGAATGCGGAGGCACTGATGGAGTATCCGACTGCGGGAGTCCATGAACTTCCGTCAATAAATGTCACTCAAGCACTTCTT